CATTTGATTAATTACGTTAGCTTATCACAGATTTTTCACCACAGCGCTCAACTTGCAGCCTGATCTAGACAGGTCTGACTGGTTTCTCTTGGCCTGTGTGGGAAAGCAAAAACCTCCATTTTTCAGGGTGCGATTTGATCCTGTCGTGTGCAGTGCTGTCAGTTCTGACTGTGACATTCTGCAGAAGGGGGTGCAGGTGATACGAGGTGTGTACAAGCACAGTAAAGGAAGAAACACTCTCTATCACTGCCTTCTTCAACATTTAGGTTAGAGATGAAAGTCATCAAGAGTTCAGGGGGAATGCCCCGGCTGTCCTACACTGGCCGAGATGATCGGCATTTCGTGCCCACAGGACTCTACATCGTACGGACTATGAACGGTAGGAAGAGAGAGTCCCTGCTCCCTCTCAACTTTTCTTTGTCTCTCCAAGTAAAAAGTACTGACCAGGCTTGCTCATCTTAACTTGGTAAAAAAATAATGGCAATATTCGAATGGCTAGAGGTTAAGTAATGAGGGTAATTTGCATGTAGTGAAGGTAGCATTGATTAGGTTGAGGTTTAGGGTGTTATATTTCAGTTTTTCTGTTGTTGGTTGATTAGCTATCATATGGATAATTCCATTTATTTACATGACTGACTACCTTATTTTTTAATGAGATCATAATTTTTCATCAAGATGTTTTCCAGAGTAATAGGATGTGGAAATACCCTGTTTTAAATGTCACCTTCTAAACGGAGGGAGAAGGGATTTTTCTCAGTGAATAGAGAACAGCTTGGAAAGCAGGTTGTCTTGGGAGAAGGAAGGAAAAGGGAGTAATGGAAGGATCACAGTCATTCTTTATAGATTCCTCCTCCCTACTTTTACTGTATGTGTATCTCTTCTGTGACTTTCACCCCTCCCCCACCTTTTATTTTCTACCTGATCCCTGTAACCCCTCTGCTAGATCCCTGGACAATGGCATACAGCAAAAACTTCAAGAAGAAATTCTTCTTCAACAAAATGACCAATGTAGCAACATACAACCTCCTTCCTGAAGCCATTGCACCCTTTCAGTGAGTATGAGCCAGAGCTGAGGCTATGGACGGGTTTGTGTCTGCCAGCGTGTGTGTGTGTGCCTGGGTGTTTGGAAGGGAGCTCTGCGGTGCTGTGTCCTTGCAGTCGTTTGCAGTGCAATGCAGTTGGTCACCAGAAGGGTGTGCTGCAGGAGCTGGCACCTTCTTAGGCTTTCAGGAAACTGCTGATGTGGAATCATGGATTTTGCAATTAATGGCTATGAATAACGAACATGTCACAAATTCGTTCTGCTGTCTGCAGCAGACTACAAGTTACTGAAGCTCTTGCATGTGGGGAAGTAGGAATTGAGCCCAGCAACTGTAGTTTGCTGCATCTCTGTATTTAACATGTTTGGTTGGAAGTTGCTAATTTAAAAGCAAATCCCAGTTCATTTAGCCCAGGCTCTGGAATAACCTGTGGGAAGCTGAGAGCTTTTTTTAAAGAGAGTGAGAGAGCAAAACAGTAGCTCCTTGGGAAAGGATAGAGTGGCTTGTCATTGGACAATCATTAACATTGTGGCTGCTGAAAACCATCTGTATCTACTGAGTAATAGGCTGAGGGCATTACCCAAGTACAGCAAATCCTGAGTCTGATGCCTCTGGGCTCCTGGGTAGAGATGTTCTGCACTACCACCATTACCCAGGACTGTGCCTCTGAGCAAGAGCTTCACATGAAACAGCACTCCTGATTTTCTCACTTTGAACCTCCTTACCTGTCTTAGAGCAGTGCTTTCAAGAATCCTTAAGCCTTTCTTCATGTGGTAAATGGCAGAACAGGCTTAAAAGGCAAGGCACATGATGCTTTTTCTCTCAGTGTGTAAGGGTGGGGTTAGTTCTGCCTATGTACTCTGAAATAGGCCAGCATGAACCTACAGGAATGGCTGAGGAGGTGGAGGGAGTGCTTGTGTGAGACTCCAGAAAAGATGTGTTGTGGTTAGTGAGTACTAATATGTCTATAATTAGCCACTGACATGTGCTCTTGTCGCTGTGCTAGTACTGCTTTGTTAGAACAGAAGCATTAAATAAGCTATGAATATTAAGTGTCAGTAATTGTACAAAACTAAAGGCTGCTGTGTTGGCAGTAATTAGCAGCTCTGATTTCATTATGGCTGGGACTGTGTTGATGCAGTGAGGGAGGGCTGTGCTTGATGGATGGAGTGGGAGATGCCATTGTAGGACCAGAACTCTCAGCAGCAAAGCAGGGCTCAGTTATTTCACATGAGGGGAAAGAGGGAATGATCCTAGCTGCTTTTGTGCCGTGGGAAGTGCTGTTTGTTTGCAAAGCTCCCTAGGACAGCTGTTACTGATTATAGTAGGTATGTGGTGAGGGATTAGGTTGCTGCTCCTGGCAGACTTTCTGAATTCTTCATTAAGGTCTTTCCATTGCCTGCAATGACAGTTTCATCCTCTAAGAAACTTAGGGGGAGGTAGGGTTTTTCCCTAGTGACCTGACTCCTTCCAGAAAATACTGAACTGAATTTGATTGAAGCTAGAATTAACAAGTTTGTTTGCATGGAAATCTCTTAGGCTTGGCTGTTGCTGTTCTTTGAGGGCTGTAGAGTTTGTAAGGTGAATGAATGAATGAATAAATGCACTGGTCTTTTTTAAGGCACCTGTTCTGAGTATTTCTGTGTGGCTCCCATAGCAAGGGCAGCTGTCTGTCGCTGGGATGGAAGTGTTTTCTTTTCCCTTCCCTGCATAACTAATCTTGTTCTGCTCTCTGCCCACAGTGTCTGCCATTACAGCCGGCTCTTCTGGGAATGGGGGGAAGGTGTTAAAGTGCACGACTCTCAGAAAAGACAAGATCCAGAGAAGCTATCAAAGGAGACTGTTCTGTCTTTCATCCAAGCACACCACCCCTAACCCTGCTCTCTTGAGGGTGCAGCGAGGGGCTGAGCCCAGCTTGGATTCTTCAGGGACTGATGGGACTGGGAAGGCTCCACAACTTCTATCCTGATAATCTCCAGAGCTGATTTCCTGGAGGTGATCGAACCAGAGGGTGGTATGCAGAAGGCACAGGATGAGGCTTTACCCTGGTAGTGTATATAAGAGTACAGACTAGGTAGCACCTGGTGCCAGAGTACCTAAGGTGCCTCCTGGAGCCAAGGCCTAATGTCCTTTTGTCCTGACCTACTGCATGCATGAGGCCAAGGGGCTGGCAGCTTTCTTTGCTCCTATTCAAACATTCAGCAAGGTTTGTGGAGCTCTGTGTGTGCCAGAACTCCCCAGGCTTCTGCTTCTCTTGCAGTGTGGGAAGGAGCAGAGATTTTTTGATGGCAGAGCTGGGCAACAGCACATTGAAGTGGCCCTGCATTGCTCCTGGCAGCTGTCTCCTTGGCCTTGTCAAAGGCTACACTCTCCAGTGGAGGGTGTTAAGTCTTTGGTGAGCTGTGGGCAAAAGTTATATATTCTTGTCGGTGTCTCCAACACTTCTGTTTATCAAGGCACTCAGCTAGCCACTGGCAATTCATATGTGATGGACAAAGGCCAATGCAGGTGATGAGTACAGTTCCTGGCATAGATCTGATGTGCTCACACCTCTGCAAGCTGCTGTGACAAGGATTTCCCCTCTCCAGGTTAGTGAGTGATACCAAGCCAGCAGCCTGGGGCTAATTTGTGGAAATGTACCATGGTTGGTGTACATGCTTCATGGTACTTCTGAGACCAAGTGCTTTGACTCTTGGTACTTAACGTTATTACCTAAACCTTCAGGGAGGAAAGTGGATGTGGGAGGGAAGACACAGAAAAGCTAGGATGCTGAAGTCTCTGGAAGAAATGATGGGAATGTCTAACTTAGTTAAAAAGACCCAGAACTTCAGTAGAAAGGTATCTTGACTTTAACCATGTAGGTTAATAAGAAGCAATCCTGTCCCCTGACTGTGCCCACTGGAAAGGTTGCCAGACTTTCCTTTTAAAATATCAGAGAGGCTTTGAAATTCTCTGTATCTCATTTGACTCTGGAACTGCATTTGAGGTGAAGGCACAGAGCCAGGAAACTCCTCTCAGTATGGCATTTGTGTCAAGACTTCTCCATGCACTTCTATGCCAGGCTCAAAGTTGGCTTCTGTTGCATGTTTTACCTTCACTTCTGGTTTCCATGGCACTTTGCCAAGTCTTCCACATAAATCAGAAGATAACACATAGTTGAATGCTTTGGGACAAACAGCAAGATAGTCCCTTTTTTATTTTGTTTTGTTTGTTCTTGGCTTGTTTTTAAACATGGATTGGCAGTAGGGAGAAAAGTGATTTAGGGGTTTGTCTGAATTGTGCCTTAAGGAAAGCTATAGTTCTAGAATCTATAGCAGTTGTTTAGACTGTGTCTTTTTCTCCACATCCATATGAATGATTTGACCAAGCCTGTGCAGCAAAATGTAGAAACTTTGACTTAGGCACAGGTCTGTCAAAGCAGTTGAAGGACTGCAGGCTGTTAATGCATCCTCTTGGCTGATCTGTAGACCCTTTCCACTCTCAAACATTGGTAAAACATGTATGAAAGAAATGGTGGCTCTTCCCGCTAAGCAACAAGAGGTGTGTCATTAGTAGCTTTGTCTTGACAAAGGCACTTCCATGAGGGATGGGGAAGAATCTCTCCCAGTAGGCAATAAAGTACCTCAACCTCTGATGTCCAGGCCTATGTACAGTTGGCTTTTCAAACCAACCAGCAGTTTGAGATCTGAGGACCTCTGTGGACTGCCTTGAGGCTGTTCAGTGCCAGCAATGCATGCTGCTCCCTCTGCCAGGCTCCTTTGCAGTGTTGTGTCTTCAGTACTCGGAGCTTTGACTCCTGTTGGCTGACAGACAGAAGAATGACTAGGAAGTAAACTAGGATCAGTGTAGGCCTTAGAGGGTACAAAAAAACCTGGTCAGTCTGCAGGAATGGATATGAATGGATACTTCAGTTACTAAGTTGTCTCTAGTTGTTTTAATTTGCCTTTTTTTTTATTTTTGATGCACTGAACCTTGATTCTAAATCTCCCTTCAAGAAGGCAAGCATGAGCCACCAAGCTACTTGCTTCCCTGCTGAGGGTATGTTGGGAAGGGCGGGTGAGGAAGGCCTTGCTGAAGGGAGTGTTTATGTATGTTAATTGCACAATGTGTTGTTATTAGGCTTTGTATCATTTTATGTTGACTTCTGTGCTTTCATGTTCTTTTACCAATACAGCCCCTTTAGTTCACAGCAGTGCTTCTTTCCTTTACTTCCCACACAATTTTGGCCAGCAGTGTCTGTCAGTGTGGCCACAGAGAAATGCCAGCAGAGTTAAATATTCAAGGCAGTCCCTTTTAAAGGTTTTTGTGGCAAGTTTAGAGCACTGGAATGAGAGGGCATTACAGGGGACAGTCTCTGGCACTCCTGCAGCAAGGGTAGGCTCCTGTTCCAGTCAAAGGAAGTACATTCCAGGCCACAAGAGGTCAGTTACCCACTGCTGAGAGCTCACTGACCAGGGGCTTAAGTGCCTAACCTAGTCTAGGCTTACCGTAGTGCAATGTGTGCCAGTAAGGAAATAGTAGGATGAGAATAAAGCAGTGTCTGAGAAACAGGACAGAACGGGGAAAAAAAACAAACCAAATAAACAAACCAGGAGATTAAAAGGTCAAATTATTTTATTTAAAGCTCTACAGAAGCACTTTCTTCTCTGGGTGTTGATAGTAAATAGTCTTCTGCAAACGCTGATTCTCAAAGGCACAAAATGGCTGCCAAGCTCTGAGGCACTGGAGAGGTAGGCAGAATCTTTAGCTCAGCTCTGGGAATATATAGAATTGCAATACCTACAGATTACCCTTTGCATCAAGAGCTTGGTCCCTTCAGTTTATGACTGTGTCACAGGAGCCAAGGTGTGTATTCCACCTGGGCTGGGCAGAAAGCACCTTCTGCAATCACAAAGGTCCTCTTCAAAAGGGAGAATGTATTGCCTTCCTGGATCAGGCTGGATGGTCCTGACTGTGTTTTGGCTAAGATGGCACCACCTTGAGCTCTGCTTGACCTGATTTCCAAGCACAAGTGTGCCATGATTTCTGGTTTGTCTCCTGTCCTCCTCAATTTGCAGCAAAAAATCTTCCCTACAACAAGGCTTGGAGACAATAAACAAGAAGAGTAATTTGAAATGCTGATCCTCACCCTTGGGGGAGGCACAATGGTGAGAGGAGGAAGAGCTCCTTGCAGAAGTCATTTGTTCAGCAGGGAGAATTCTTGAGTGCAATCACATTGTCCAGCAGGCGTAAATAAGAGCAATCAGCAATGCCATGGCCACAGCAAGGGCAGCATTCTTGCGATTTTCCTTACGAAGCACACTCAGTTCTTTCTCTGGGAAACAAACAAAAGACTTGCCTGTGAAGGTTCTTCATCTTGCATCTACACCTCTTTTCAAAATTCTCTTAGAAGCACAACGCTACCTTGGCCATAGGCAAAAATTTTGGGAGCAGTATGCAAAGCTGCCAACAGGACGTGCTGAATGGGAAGTAACTACCCAAACTAGTAGGAACCTTTTCATTTGCTCTCATCCTGACACTCGGGGTAGCTGTGCTTGGGAATACTTCAGTGCCAGGCCAGTTCCTGTTGGCAAATGCCATTGCTGTAGGCCTCTACTAAGGACAGACTATGTCATTAGAATAACTGCTTGTTCCCTAAGAGAATGAAGTCCCGAGGGCAGAGAGCTATTTCTATTGTCTTCTAGATGTAACAGCCTGGTAGCTCTTTCTAGTGCTAAAGTTTAAATATAACTGTAGCCACCTTAGAGTGCTGCAGAATATATGTTTCCTTACACATCAGAAGGATCAGTGTGGAAAAGGTCTGAACCTGGACACTTATTCTGTTGGGGCCTGAAGCTTTTTAGAGATAGGTAAACTAGGGAGAAGGAAAGCAACCTAAGAACCACAGATGCAGAGAGAGGAAGACAGTGGCTACTTTTAGTATGGAGTCTTGCCACTCTCCATTTCTGTTTGGTTCCCTTTACCAAAGATGAGAACCCCACTCCTACTAGTTCTGTTCCACAAAACTTTGCTGGCTGGTAGAGGCAAGCAGTGAGGCCTCCAGCCTTACAGACTGCAAGGCCAAACAGCACTAAGTGTGTGGCAGGCAAGGTTGGGTGTGGACTGTCCGCAGCCTGTTTTTGTTGCCAAGTTCATCTGCAGAGACCGCACATGTTACTGTCACTACAGTTTGCACAAGCAGCTTCCAGCAGTTCCCCAAGTGGTGTTGGTAATCAAAAAAGTCTTTTAGCAGTTCTTTCTGCTCCATTCTTCATCTAATACAAGCATTCTACATGCAGCCAGAGAGCAATCTGCTTGAATCTGCAAGGCCACAAAGGAGGTGACGGGGTCACATAAACCTCATGCACAGTCCTGCCAGCTTAAATTGATGCTGACAATGCCATTGTCAGCAGCTGCTGTTCACGGCCTCAAGTGCATCAGCTGGAATAAGGAAAGATTTAGTCAGAGGCCAAAGCCGTGATGTCACCATTAGGTGAGGCTGTTGCTGCTGTCTCAGCTGCTGTCAGACTGCTCTGCTGATGCCACCAGGGATGGCTGGCTGGTAAAAGGGTGGCAGCAATTTCCAGTCTTCCGCTGTCTCTAGCGGTAGCCCTTAAAGAACAGCTCTCAGTCTGTTTAAAGTAACTGTTACTCTTGTGGAAACAGTCCTCTAGCATGAGTTATAATTACAAATTTGCTGCCCACACCCCAGCTTTCAACCCTCTAGACCTAAAACAATCCTTGTGCCTCTTTCCTTTTGTGAGCTCTGCTGCTTGCACATCTGCAGAGTACTGCCAAGCAGGTACACGCTGATCAACACCAGGAGCCTGAAGATGTACAAAGCAGCACCTCTAGTGGAATGGAAGTCCTGTCAAGTGTGGTATCTCAGAGGGACTTGCATTCTAACTGTCTACAGTAGGACTTGCACCAAGGAAAATCCACATCAGTGTGAGTTGCTATGCTCTTCTGCTGAGTGGCCTCATAAATTGATGCAGTAAGAACCTTCCCCAAGGAAGGTATATTTTCCTACACTCCTGACAGCAATTGCCTTCTTGCCTAGCAAGCCTCTACTAGGAAAAAAAAAAAAGGTTGGGGAGAGGGATGTTAAAAGCTACTCAAGCCAATCTGTTAGCTATGATTATCTAAAGACTGGTAATTTGGGGTATGTGGAGGGGGACATTTTCTCCCCTTCATTAGCTGATGCTTATTTTTTTCCCTATGGAAGTACAGCTCAAGTAGGAGGATGCAGACTCCTATTATAATATGCTGACTACATTTCCATTAGTCTAGCTCCCTTTGGTTGAAGTTAAATTCAAAGGCAGAAGTCAGAGGTGGCAGGAGCTTGAAGACAAAGCTAAGCTGCAGCACTGATCCTATCCTGCCCAGAGGGACCATTTTTAATGAAGCTCTTACCATAGTTGTCAGCTTTGGTCATTAGTAAGTTTCGCTCTCTCTCCAGTGACTTTCTGTAATGAGAAGAGGAGTTCATTACCTGCGAGGCAGAACACAGCCTATTTCTTTGCTTACATGATGGAAGAGAGACTGTCCCCACCGCTGGGGATATCTGCTCAGAGGATGAGCCCCTCACCCCTCCCTGTTGGAAGGGTGACAGTTTAGAAGTATCCAGTTGTGCAAGAGAAGAGATGCAGCATTTTAGATTATTTTTTCCTTCCCCTAAATTGCTTCCTATCTCTCCTTTCAGGAGAGCAGTGTAGGCAAACAGCCAGAAAGGGCTCTTGGGTCATGTCCCTACTCTAGTTCCCCCTAGGTGAGGCAGGAAGTTCTGACACTGCTCTGGGATGGGGCAGGGTCCTTCTATCCTCTCTGGAGGATCCTGCCCCTCCACCACATTGGGCTTAGTGCTGGAACAGTAATTCTTCTCACCATTTGATGCTGGGATCCCTTTGTCAGATGTATCCAATTTACAGAAATTGGTGAACTCAAGGAAACAAGCTGAATCCAAACGTAGTACTAATGAGGTAAAGAACCTGTCATTAGACTGAAGACTCATAATAACAGAAAAGACTTAAGTTAGGCCAACCCAGCCCTTGTCTTAAACTGCACAAGATGATTAATTAATATACAGATTAAAATATAAACCCAAAATAAAAATTTCTGAAAGCAGCAGTGTTTCTATTCTGGCAGTAAGGACACGGTCAGTCCTTTCAGACTCTGTACATAAATAAACATGCACTAACAAATTATCCTGGTTCAAAGAAGGCAGAAAGTGTAACAGAGTTTGTTGTTCCCCTTGGGGCACAGCAAGAACAACCTGTAGGAGGAAAGAGATCCAAATCTATGTGTACAGCTAGTTAAGTGTAAGAGAGTGCAAGAAAGCAAGCTACATCAGGAGCAGCAGGAGAGGAAAGGGCTCTAAAAGAAAACTGGGTGGAGAGCAGCCAGGAGGAAGTGAGAAGATATTTACCAACATGACTGAGCTGTTACTTAGAAATGTGCCTTGTGAAGAGAGTCAAGGGAAGAAGCTTTGAGAAAGAGGCATGAAGAAACCATGACAACTGAACTTCAAAGTGGAAAAGCAGAGCTCCTCTTTGTGTGCTATACACTGAATCGATAATTTTGATCACAGTATCTTCCCTCCATGGTTTTTTAAAGGGTCTGGAATAAGACAATGGAAGTTCTGTTTCTATTTCCATACAAGCTGTAAAACTCATAGAAGGCTCCAAGAATCTTAATTCATAACTCCTTGTTCTAGGCCCTTTATTTCAGTCAGAAACCATCATACATCACACCCTGTCACAGTTACCACAACTGTAGGTTTGGTTGTTGGGCACCTAAGCCCCAAATAAAGAATATAGGCAGTAACAAGGAGAATTCAGGCCAGGAAAGGATTGTTGAGACAAGGAACTACAGAGAAGAGGGACACGAAGAGACAGAACCCTGTCTAAATATGGATGGGGATATAAAACTCCAGTAAAGGAAGAGGGAGTAGTGCAAAGGAGAGCTTAACAAAGAAGTGAAACTAAGCCTGATAAATATCAGAAGATGGAGACATCACTATGATAATTTCTAATGGGGTTCCACAGGACAGTACTGTAGAGCGAACACTAGGATCATCAGGACTACTCCCTGGGCTGATGACTGAGCTTCCCATGCTTTTTTTGCTTGGAGCACAGCAGTAGGATGCTAGTGACTGAAAAAATGTCCTCAAGCAGAGAGACATCTAAAATCTCTTGCTTCATACTCAAGAGAAACAGTAGGTTCTGTCTATGCCTACTACAAAATCCAGGCCAAAGTCCTTGCTTGAGTTCCAGCTCTAGAAGCCAACAACTGCTGCCTCTATGGCAGCCACAGATTTCAGGGGAATTGTCACTCTTAGCATTCCCAAGAAAAGCCAGTGTGTTAATTCATCCCTATATCCAGACACATTAGCAACACAGGCACAGATATTTTCCCTCAGCTGCTTTTGCAGCTGGATCCCAGCCTGGTTTGGCCCTCAGTAGTAGTCACTGCACATCCCCCTGATTGAACCCAGGTGGCTTCAGCAAGGCTTGAGCAGCAGCGTGCAGAAAACCTTTGCCAGACTCACAGAGCAGGTTCATAACAGGCCAGGAGCCAGGCCTGCAAAGGAACTGGCAAGTTTCAGGCACTACTCTGGTTGTGACACAGGTTGGAGTCAGGCTGTTACAACTCTCTATATCACGAATGAACTGGCAAGTTTCAGGCACTACTTCTCTGGTTGTGGCACAGGTTGGAGTCAGGCTGTTACAACTCTCTATATCACTGCACTTCTCACAGGGGCAAGTTCCCCAAGAAAGCTCCAAGCTGTGGAAATGGAGCCTTGTTATGGAGAAATCACACATTTCCACTCTGTCAAGAGCCCTTGTTTGGTCCTACAGCATGATGACAGCTAAGCTGAAGTGCACACACAGCTGTGTAAGCAGCTGGTCAGCAATACCTTCCTTCGGGGCTGAGCTTCTCCCTGCGCAGTTTAAGGTCCACCTCTTCCATGCTCTGTCTGCAGCGTGCCAGCTTCTCCTCCAATCCATCAATCTGAAAAACATCACACCAGTCACCTTCATTTCTTCTCCCAGCTTACAAGGACTCATTCCCATTCAGATGGTGGCAGTTCAGCTACTATTCCTCCCCAGACCAAGGGAAGAATCCCAGATCTATGTAGAGATCATAGCACAGAGCTCCTCATCTTCCAGCTCAGCCTGTATTCTAGTCCAGACAACTGTAACATCATCACCCTAGACACAGCCAAACCAGCCCTGATACTGCCTATTGTGTGGCTGGCCAGCACCCTTTTGCTAGGATCTGATCCAGTTCCAGCCTGCTCTAGTTTCTTTGCATGTGGGTCCACAAGCAAAGCCGTGATCTTAGGTATCTTTATGCAATTAAAGGATAAAAAGAGAGACACTGGCCTAAACCAAAGCCTGAGGAACAGGGTCTTATTTTAGCACTGTGAATGGATGCAGAAATCAACAAAGCACCCTCAGCTGTCTGGCTGGGTGAAGAGGGAACAAAGGGATACTTCCAGTCTCTTTTACCCAACTAAATCTACAACAGCAACAGGAATCTGCACAGTATGGTCAAGAGAGCATTCACCACTGACTCCTTCAACCTGTACCAAGTGCTGGCAGCAATATGTTTCCATGCAAAAAAACATTGGTTACAGTGGCTTCATCAGTTCTGTCAGTGCCCACAGCTTCACTGCCACTTGATTATAGATTCAGGTTATCTCCTTGTGCCTCTTCATCAAGTATCCCAACAGCCACCCCTGTGTCTTCCTGTGGAGGGGTGTAACCACAGCTAAGCACAGGAGGGTTCATTTCCTTGTGTGCAAACAGACTGCCCAGGAGGGAATCCTACCATGACCAACAGTTCTGGGAATCATTCCTCTCTTCTGCCTGGCAACCACAGCATAGACATCTCAAGGAAAACTTTGTCTTTCAAGCTTGCTTCCAGCAGGGAAACTAATCAGGCAATATGAACACAACAACCTAGCCTGAAAGAAAGTGGCCTCGGTGCACTAAGGTGGCAATGACCTCTCTTTTGAGCTACTTAGTGCAATACTCCTGCTGTGCCTGGCTCTCCAGGGAAAGCCAAGGCTGGCAGCACGGCCTCCCTGTGGTGGGAGCTTTCACACACCAGACGCTAAGAGGCAGCACAGTCCTGGGTAAAGGTGGAATGAGCTGCCTGGACACCAGCCTCAGAAGCAGCCCAGAGCACAAACACACTCACAAACAGTAATAAGGGAAACAAAATCAAAGGTAGTGATCCCTAATTATTGCTGCTTTGGGGATCAGCTCTGTTCTGATCAGCTCCTGTTAATGAGCTCATTAACAATCTCACACCTTCTGCTCAGGAAACGCAGGCAAGCATTATAACTAAGCAGGACTGGAGAGAAGAGGCTTGACACAAAGCAGACCATGAAAAGAAGTTTAACCAGTCAGTTAAATAGTCTGGAAGGAGCACAGCAGAGCTGGGGAGGCAGACATGTAAGAAGGCTCAAATAAATCTTTGATTTATCAGATAGCAATCTCAAAGTCCTGGGCTATTAGGCAACTCTGCCAGTGCTCAAGATGCCAAACTCCCCAGAGGCACATGTACAGCTTCCTGAGCCCAAGGGGAGCACCAAGGCATATCACCTGATCCCAAAGCTCAGGGAACAGCACTTCAGTATTTGGCAATGCTTGGGTTTGCCTGGATGAGGATAATTGTCCTCCTCCATTTCCAGCTGTGCCAGTTAAGAATGTTGACTGTAGCTGCTCATCACCATGTCATGCACTACAACTCAGTCAGTATGATGCATTGCCCCAGTCTGCTTCAGGGCCAAGAAAGGACTTCAACCAGGCCAGCTCTGACCACACATATCAGCAAGTTAATTTAATAGCACAGTGTGGTACAGCAGAGGTGGAGTGTTGGTCCAGTGAAATTTAAGAATTACCATCTCCCTCACCAGTTCCTACCATTTGCAAACAGCTGTTGCTGCTCCTTTAGCTGTTGGAAACCCTTATATACACACACAGGAAAAGATTCTTCAGCATGTGTTACCTGGCTCCTCTTCAGCCTGTTACATTATTACAGTGCACCATGGCTTCTCTGGAAATATATTTTAAAATAATGCTAAATAATACATTAAAGAATTAACGAGAGCTTTAGTTAGTCAGCTGCCAACCCCACCACTAAATTATCCATGCTACTGCACTCCAATCCTCTCCTCCATGCCTGCTCCTCCTAGCTGGCAGCTGCTCTCACTGGTATATTCTCTGCCCATACTTCCCTCATTTCATGAGACTTAACAAGAGTATATTCTGCCCAACTTTGTCAGTGCTTTCACTTTCTGCTGACTAAAATCTCCAGATTCCACATAATACTTTAAAGTTTCAACTGGTTTTACTGCTCTTAAATCAAAACCCAAGTTTGGGTCCCCTGCTGGAGAGCAATAATTTGCTAATAAACCACATGCCCCAGAACTGCACCATCAGCTGTGCTGAGCTGGGGGCACAAGGGATAAAAAATAACCAGAAAAAAAAAAAAAAGAAAAAGCAAGGAAGGAGGAACGGATTGCTGAATGAACAAAATACTTTTCTTTCAGAATCTCACTACTTCTTTTCTTCTGGCTAGCCTGGATTATTAGGGGTTATAAGGAAGGACAAGAGTGGGGATTCACAGATGTTATCTATTCACTGTGCCTCAGTTTCCCCACTTATAAATTAAGACAATATAATCTGCCTCCTGAAGGCAGCTTATTTGAATAAGAAGACACCGACCCAAACTATGGGCAGAGCACTATTTTGATATGTCAATGCCATTGCCTTGCTTGGCATTTAGGAGCTGCTCCTGCAAGCCAGGAGTGTCTTGGCAACTCAGCCATCCAAGTAACTCTTCACTGCAGAACAAAAGAAAGACAGAAACAGAAAGTAACAGGGGGGAAAAAAATCAGAGTAATGCTGGGCAACTATTGATTACTCTCTGGACTGCTAAGGAAACTCCTGGGGCGGGGGCATAGTCTGTAAAACTGTAGCACAAGAAAATCTGTAGGGCTTTGCCATAATTCCCTGCTACAGCTAGTCCTCCAGGAGAGCAATCCTAGAAGCAGGTGCTCAGCTGAGCTTGCTGTGGATGGAAAGCTTTCCCTCCTACTAAATAATACATGAGGTTAGTTGGGGTACATACCTGGGCACACTGGAAGCCCACAGGAAAACAAGGAGCCAAGCTCATTTAGCTGAACCACCCTTGTACTTCACACTGCTTTATCTATTTAGGGGCAATCTCAGCACAGTGCCTCCTAAGTTGCAAAGATGAACCTTTCCTCCTTTTAGCCCTCCTTTCCTTGAAGGGGATCCTCTGGGACAGAGCTGAAATGCAGCAAGCAGAAAGCTCACAGGACAGATCCTCAGGTTCACAGAGATGGTAGCAGGGACACAGGGCTTCACTCACAGCAACATTCTTTAAGTAGTTCCAATTAAAAAGTGGGAGTGAAACATGTTCTTCACATCCAGGCAGCAGATCTGGGCACACAGAGCTGCCCTTCTGAAGCTCCTCAGGAGACACTCCACGAAGTCAAGTCCCAGCAGCTTTGGATACACACAGGGACCTAAGACCAGATGCCTCCTTTGCTCCACAGGTATGACAAGGCATTCAGCTATTTTTGCTGAATTCTGGCAACACTCGCTCATGATCTGGAAACCTTTTTAAACTAGAGAGACCTGGAATGGATTTCAATCCAAACTGACTTACATGCTTATTACAAATTCTATTTGTTGGGACCATCTTGGGCAGAGAGCCCGAAATGGCTCACATAAAGGCAGAGACAAAGAGAGAAGTGAAAAAGAAGCAGCTTTGCTTATAGAATTGAGCTGGATCTCATTTAATACATTTTGTAGCGAATTAATGAAAGCTTTCTTTCCAGCAGAAAGGCTAAAAGCGCTTTTCAAGAACTGGCATCCACCCTCCACTTTTATGAATTCCCTAATTAAGATACTGGCAAAGAGCCATATCACACATACATCGACATCCAACAGCATTAGGTAATGAGGTTTTCATCTTCTGACCCTCATAAAACAGATCAAAGCCAACTGAAGAGGTGGGGGCAAAGAAAAAACCCCTTCGCTGAGCAGTCTTTACATGCCTTGTCACCTGCCAGCACACTTGAGCTCTTCTTTCACAGAAGAATTAATGGTTCCTGCATCCACAAATTTGGCTGGATTGTAAAAATCAGTCCAGCAGAGACAAATTTTTCTTTAAATTCAAGTGCTAACTTGCTGTTCACGGACACACTTCCATTTTCTCCATGCTCTTGGAATCATTTTGCACGCTGGAAAATAATTTCACAGACATGCTGCCCACAGCATGCTTGGAAATATTTACCAGTAATTCAGAGCAGAGGATGATCCACCAGCAAAGTCTAAGATGGCTCCTGCAGAACAATCCTGTGTGTTGCTAAAGGAGGAGAGGCTGGATTCTACCTACACCTCCTCCTCCAGCTTTGCAGGGCCCATCTCGTTAGCCAGCGCATCCTGCCTCAGTCCAGAGCAGCAGCTTTGCAGGACCGCACACAGATGTGACCACAGGGCACGTGAGCCAGATTTTCAAAAACTTCTGCAAGAACAGCTTCACTGAGCATCAACTGTGTCAGCCTTTTCCCTATTCTTTATGTTCCTTCACAGACACTGACCAGCCATTGCCCTGTCAGAAGCAGCAACACATGTAACAATACTTTATAGAAACACACACCTGACATTTTGCTGGCCAGGCACTGCCTTTAATTTAATGAACTTTTCTGTTTCTCTGATTTTTTTTCAGTTGTTGCCTGAGCCACAAGTATATTTTTAGTGGTTACAATATCCTTTGGCAAGCAGTTTCACAGCAGGTTATGGGAAGAACCAACCCCTCCTGTTTGTTCTGAGCTTGTCAGCTGCTGGTTTCATTTGATAGCCCTAACTTTGTATTGACAGTGTGTGTTCATTCTTCATTTAAAGCCACAAACAGCATGCAGAGGATATAGGTCTATATTGGGTCCCCTTGCAGTCAGGTTTTCCAGCTTAAAAGGACCTGGAATGCTTGGTAGTTTCTTGCATAAAGTTCTCCACACCTTTGGTCATCCATGTCACTCTCTTGAGTTAATTCCATTTTCACTATTTTGGTAGAAAATGGATCAGTCTTGCCAGTTTCATTTTCCTGATGAGTTTCCTCAAGCAAGTCCTATGCAGCTCAGCATTGTCAATAGGGCTGCCTGTCAGAAGACTAGAGCTATATGGAAGAAGTGGCATGAATTTAAACCAACAGAACATTATGGAGACACATTTATATCTATTTAAACCAGATCATACCAATTACATCTGCAATTTGTAAGTGCAAGCTAATCTGATAAGTGTCCATATAGAAAATTGCATTCATTTAGCATCATGACTTCAGTTAAACAAGCATGACTCTGCCTAGATGAGGCCTTTCAAAGCTAGTCATGCATCACACCATATTAAGACTAATTTGAAAAGTTTTCTTTACAATCATAACAGCTTAGAAGGTAATACTGAACAGAGTAATTTTAACTTATGAATCTAGTACCTTGGTTGTCATGCAAACTGAAACACAGCCCTCTTTTCCTCTGGCTTAAAAGCATTTTTTTTTTCTTCCTCCCTAACCTCTCTTCAGCAGTGTTCTCATCACTGCAAGTGGAAATAATTTTATCTTGTAGAAGTGTCTTTGCACAGAGATTTTTACCTGTAATGCACAAAAAAGAGTAGTTCTACAATCCTTTCAAAACTAGTATGTTCTGTCCTGAAAACTTCTAAAAAACCCCCAAAACTTAATCTAAAGCTACTACAAGTCCTCAAAGACTTTGCAGGAATTTTCTGTGGCAGCTAAAATCAGTCCCTTTTCATTTTGCGAACAGCAAGTCCCTAACAGGCTGAGCCATTTTGTGACCTCTCTTTTTGTAAGGTAGATCCTACCATCTCAGCTGTTCTTGTGTGCCACTTCTCAAACCACAACAACAACAACAAGAAAAAAAAAAAGGAAAAAAATCACTGTTCAGTTCTCTGGTAGGCTCTTCAAAGGAAGCCTGGACACCCCTCTGGACTCCCTTTGGTGGTTATATTTGAGTTAGAGTGCCCAGAACTGTGTTTCTCTAATGAAAGTCTAACCAATGAAACATAACCATAAAACAAACTCCCATTGCACACAGCAGGACGAGAGGGGGTCTCATCAATACATATAAATATCTTAAAGGTGAGTGTGAAGAGGTTGGTGCCAAACTCTTTTCAGTGGTGCCAGTGACAGGAGGAGGAGCAATGCCTCTAAAACAGAGAAGTTCCACCTCAATATGAGAAAAAACCTTTTTACACTGAAACAGACCACTGGAATAGGCTGGCAGGCTGTGGAGTTTCCCTCTCTAAAGACATTCAAAATCTACCTGGTCACATTCCTGTGTGATCTGTTCTAGGTGACCCTGCCCTGGCAAGGGGGTTGGATGAGATGCTATCCAGAGGTCCTTTCCAGCCCTAAGGATTCTGTGACACTCACCTTTATGTTACTAGCTGATGACACATATATGACACGCCCTGCCATTTCCCTGGCCTTTCCATGCTGGTTACCTCGGTCTGTTGTGCATGTGCTCACCTGAGAACACTTCAGGGCAGAGAGGTGACCAGTGAGATTCACTGAATGAATTCTGCCCCATTTCAGCCATTTGTGAGGTACATCCAGGATTTGTGTCCCCACAGTATTCAAACGCAGACTTGAGCCCAGACAGCACCGTTCAGTGCAGGAGCCAGAAAGACACAGAGATCCTAACTAACACAAATCAGGCTGTTTACAGAAAGACAAAGCTTCAACAGAGCTTACCAGCAGCCCTCCTGCCACCCAGGAAACACAGAACGGGTAAGATTCGAAGGGACCACAGTGGCTCATCTGCTCCAACCTCCGTGCTCAAGAAGAGTCATCCTCAAGCACACGGCACGGGTGCAATCTCCAGCGAGGGAGGGACAAAACACCCAAGCACAACGAAAAGGCCGTTTCAGAAGGGAGACATACTCTTAAAACCCAGCCTTTCCCCTTTCTCCTCGCTGTGATTTAGAGGCCCCTCACATGCCGGTTTACCACTGGGCTCCCCTCAAGAAGCAGCAGCAGCACACGGTTGACTTCCAGCGCCGCACGCACACAACGTGTGTCCGGCCCCCGCAGCACCCCCACGGCCCCTCAGGCACAGGCTCAAGGGCTCGGCAGGAGCAAGGACACGGCACGCCGTCGCTCAAGGCGGGAGCGAGGGCAGGGCTCCAAGCCCCCGCCAGCCCGGCCGCAGCAGCCGCCGCGCCCCCCTCACCTCCCGGGCCACGCTCGGCCCCGCTCGCCGCCTGCCCATGGTCCGGCCCCGCCAGCCGCGCATGCGCAGGGGCGCG